GGGCTTCAGCGGGGCAGGCGCGCTCACGGGTTAATGGCGCTCCTCCACAGAAGCCCCCATCCACCGGGAGGGTTTCTGCAAGGGCAGGAGCCGTCCCTGTGACCGTTCCCCGGCAGGCAGGGAGAGACTAAGGGGTCCCCACTTAGGGGAGGTCGTTTGTCACGGAGGGGAAACAGCCTAAGTTTAACATCCAAGAGATACAGGGTTACTGCTGCAGAGGAAGACGAGGGGATAGGAAGAAAGAAAGCCCGAGGAACTGATTCTCTTGGACAAACTTAAGATGAAAAGCACGTAAGGCAAGATTTCACGTACAGCCCAGAAACCACCGGATTGAAATTGAAATATGAGCCAAATTAGTCAGTATCACCTCAATAATTCTTAACTGAGGGCTGAACACAACCCTACAGAAATCAGCCTAATTCCCCTCCCCCCCCAGCTGCAATTTCTAGGAACAGTGCAAGGTCCCATGGGACCTGGAGTGCCTCCAGACCTCGCTAAAACTCCTCAGGTACAGAGATAGCGACTTGATGCTCTACTGAACCGTCCTCATCTTTGGGACATACTCCCCCTGTCAATCAAAAAAGCCACAATCTTTGTTTTACCCCTTGTCCAACCTGCTGACCTTGCACGTTCCTCTTCTGGGTAAGGAGTCAGCAGTGAGATGGGTCATATGGCACAAGGTCTGGGTGTTCACAGGCCAAACAAGTTACATACGCAAACTCCAGAACGTTAATTAGAACAAGGTAGGCTTGTGTCTTCCTTGTACTTATCTCTGTTCAGGTACTAACAGATAATGCCTTCATTGTGTCCTTCATCAAATCATTTTAAATTCACAATTTTCTAGTAATACTTTATAATTAGAACAGATAAATACTGAAAATTAGCTTTAAGCATTAAATCTGAAAATACTGTGGAAATAAAAAAACCCAGTATCTTGTGTTTCCAGAAAACTATTAAATCCAAAGTTTATTCACACTTCAAACAAAACAAAAAAAAGACTTAAATCTACTGTAAATCTATAAGGATGCAAAGAATACATAGCTGAAGGTAGCAATGGTTTAAGATTTTATTCAACAGGTGGTGCTTTATGTGCTGTTTTTAATGAATCAATGAAAAAAAGATTGTACCTCATGTGTCTTTATTTATTTATTCACCCTATAATCAAATTGCACGGTAGCAATTTCATTCAGTCCCTTAGGCAGGAAACTGATTTCATAATTAAGTTTTCTGCAATAAACTATTTTACACCAAAGTAAGTACATACACAAAGTATAATGTGAAAGTGGATTGAGGATGTTAATATATGCTCAATGCAGTACCATATAAAGATAGTTCTAGAGTCTGCTTCAGTATTGTAAGCGATGTATGTTAGTATATCCAGCACTAATACAGCTCTCTTGTTTTTGGTACAAGTATCTTTATACGGCATTGCAGTGCACCGTGCAAACATATTCCATGAGAAAAATGTATTTGCTGACAGCAAAAACGGCTGTAACAAATGGGTCAGTAAAAAGCCCCCTGGCCATTAGAAGCTTCATTCTCCAAACATAACCTTTACATCCATCTTCTTTCAGAAATCTGATTACGTTTTCCCACATCCAAGTCTTTAGAAAGAAACATGCCTAGCAAATATCAGTG